TTATCAGTTAATAGAAGAGGCAGCCTGCTGATAGAATTTATAAATGAATAGACGATCTATTCGTAGTTTTTGTGGATTTACGCAAAACAATGGCGTTAGGTACTAAGATGCTTCCTATCAGCTCGTATGGAAAACTGAGAAACGTAAATGTGATTTTAAATAAACACAACTAATTTTCACATCGCGTCTAAAATATTTGACTGTTCTTCTTTCTGTCATATTATGCTCTACACGTGGTAAAAACTGGTACTGAATCTTTTGTCGCTGTGATGAAAACTACGATAAAAGTGTCTTATCACCTTTTTCCAGCTGAAACTAACCCATTAGATTGGTCTTATCGGGATCTATCAGCTGATAGATTACAATGAATTTTCACTCCTATTTTATTTATTTCACAGCATAATAGACTTGAGTTTTGTTGGGTTTTGCCTTTAAAATCACATTATTCAAGAAAACTGAAAATGACTGTTGGGAAAGATTATTGCTCGGGAGAATTAGAACTAGTAAAATAAAATTAAATAGTCACAAGTACATACAAATATTTGTTTCTCGAAAATTTCTCAAACGATATGGAAAATTACTAGGCGCTTCACCCATCTATTTACCGATCACGTCTTTTGTCTATTCATTCTCAAGTTAGTTTGAACTTACCTGAGAAAAATCTTGGTTTATTATAGAAGTGGAGAATAAAACACGATTTGCAAATAAGAGACTTGATTCGAAAATTCATAATCGTAGACAAAAAATATTCAACCGGTAAAATTATTTTGATCTGATGAGGATGTAGAGTTATCGAACAAAATAAAATGATGTGTAAATAGTTATATCAGGTTTAGATTGATGAAGAAGAGCGTTTCATTATATTTATATATTGGCATCGACAAGACGAAAAATTAATTTCTTCTATTTTTGAATATATGTTGACCTTGTTCTAATTGACTAGTGGATTAACTCTTAAACGGAATTTGTGCATTTTCGGGCTCTTTGCAAAAATTGAATATCTCAGCAACGCAACAACTGTAGAATCTGCGGTTTTCACCAAAACTCATGAAAATGTTTGCTTTAAAGAAGTCCACTATGTTGGAAGAAATCTGACATGGTCGATTGAGCACGTTAGGCCGTGACTTATCTTTAATGGCTCTTAAAGAGTTAAGAAATAAGTTTGAATTTTTGTGTTGAAAACGTCGATATGGATAAAACACAAAACTTTAATTAAAATGTAAAATATACATTAAAATAAATATTAAATAAACTTGACTAAATGTCTGATCAATTGTTTCTCAGAACATTTAAAATTTGTTTTCGAGCCAGGTTTGTTGAAAAACATTTTATAATCTTGATGAAATTATCGAGATCATAACCTTGTTTGTTAGTAGTTTCGTGTACATAACAATAAATAAATATGAGTTTCCACTAAGTGTGAAAATTACTTTACACAATCTTTTCTTGAGAATCTTCTTTATAATTTATTCAATGAATCCAACATATAATATTGTAGTATGTATTATTTTTCATTACTTTCGAAGTATCACATAACAACAAAACAACTTTGCAAATAAACTTCTGTTTTCTACGAAACCGAACTGACTATATTTTATTGTATTTGTCAAATGTCAGTGATAAGAATTGAGTTTGCGCACCAAAGTGCAAGTGATTATTACTAATTAGAGCTACTTAAAAAGATATCATTTATGAACCTTCTTTATCACGAGTTCATTTATAACATCACATTCAATTTTCTCTTCGTCCTGCTCAGCTGCTACTTCTCCTCATTCCCTAGATTAATGAAACACTGGGATCACTTACTCTCGTCCTGAATAAACGAACGCATTAGATTATGTATAAAACAAATTATCTATCCGAATCAACTGAATTTAACATTTATGGCTAACCAGAACAGTTTTAATAAACTGCCATCAACAAAAATAAAATTTGAATTAGTTTTGAACTTAAATAAATATCTGTGGATACTTGAACAAACTATTTTTATTGCATCTACATACCACTCAAGGGGTTCTCTAGAGACTGGCAAAACTTCAGCGTATCTTTTAGGGAGGACGCTCAACCTTAAACGCGTTTCTGAATGAAGTAGTACCTCATGTTTCTTGCTTTTTCCTTACTGGTAAATTATCACGGGTTAGAAAAGTGATTGGAGGAACAGCGAGGGACTGTGACAAATTGAACAGAGCTTCGTACTGATCTAAATTGACATTGATAAAGTATATTGAACACTCGGCGATCTCTTTTGTAATGATTAAAGGATCCTCGTTTTGAATGTGATCAATGAAATGTTCATCAATCATTGCTATAATACAGTTTTCGAACACTGTTGTGATACCCGGTAAATCATGGAATGTTTAGGCATGCACCAATACAGTATATTGGACCCCAATAATATTGGTCACCCAATCTATTGGATTTTTACAATACTATTGGGTATTGAATGGTTTGAGGTCAGCCTATTTTTATGAATGGAAATATTAATGTTAAAAAGTCGGGTACGAAGAATGCTAATTTAAAACATTGTATAACTTGGACTGGTGGTCGGGTACATCGCATCCAAAGTCCACTTTCTTCCAGTTTTTTAACACTTGTTTCTAGCCTTTTTTACAACCGCAAGGTTTCTAAAAATTGCACTTGCGTAGCTACATTTCTCAAGTTTCTTCATTAGTGCTTTCTTGTCATAAGAAAGTTGGGAGAAACAGTAATATTTTAGTGATTATCGACGCCTGACTGTTATATAAAATGTTCTTTTCTATATCCATTTCGTTCAAGCCATGTTCAACTATTATCATATAGAGCATCGATTAAAATGTATTTTAGATGGAGTGTAGACCACTATCGCTAAATGGATTAAAATATCATACTTAAGAAAAGTTTGCGGCATCTTCGTGTAAGTTCGATATAATCTTCGTTCTGCCGCGAATGAACCTGTATTTCTGGTTTTATTTTCGATGCAAAGTGCTAAAAACTGTTAAGGTTCCTTTTTTATGCTTGGAAACACATGTTACCTTTAGTTCGATCGTCGTTTCGATTTGAAAGTTGCATTTATCTTTCTCAAAACATTTTGAAATTAGTTGCGGATTAAACTTTGTTGTCCAAGGGTTATCACATGTCTTTACTCATTATGCAGAGGCGGCGGAACTATAGGGCCCTTGGCCAATTTTGTTGGTTTATATTTGTTGGTCGTCTTGGAATTCTGAGTTGTCTAGGACAAGTAGAGATGCCTCATCTCTAATCGGTGAGGTTAGAACATCCAATGTATTGTGCAACCCAATATTACCCACTATTATTGTACAATATTATTGGTTCCAATAGATTGGGTAACCAATATTATTGGATCCGAACATTATTGGCTACCCCATAGTATTGTACAATATCTTCAATAATGATTGGTATTGGTGCTTGCCTACGAATGTTCCATGCTTCTCACGATAGACGCAAATCACTCCCGACACACATTTCAAGATAGCCAACATCGCCATTATTCTAAACAAGTGCTGGCTTGATTTTGTTAACCTGCAACTCAACCAAGTATTGTTCATTTCGATTTCTTTCGCTAAACAACAACCATCACATTATAACCTATCCAGGAGAATTTACATCTCTTCTTAGCCACTTTCTGCCAGGTACACAAAAACAGTGCATTTACACGAGAATTATGCTCTCTACTGTGAGAACTATGCACGATCTGAGGCAACAGAAAAGTATTAAGGCGCGCGTAATTCAAAGGAGGACCATAATTTTGTTTCCCAACAAGGTGTACATCACTAGACGTGGAATTTTACGCTGATTCCAAATATGTATAATTTATGAAGAAAAAATTGATTTTTCTGGTCAAAAAGGGCAAAAACTGTAAAATCCTTGAAGCTGCAAACACCGACCTTTTTTAGGTAAATGTCGTTTTTCTCCTGTTTCTCTGCGTTTAAAGGAACAAATATTTTTTCTTTAGATTCTCCATGAAAAATTATATCAGAAAATGGTGTTTTGAAGTTGTTCACTTATCATCGGATCGCTTCGTCTCCCGATTTTCTACGGAGAGGTGAAATTGTGACATCTACCGGTTGCGGATCTATTAACTCCGTTTGAGTAGATGATAAATTAATAAACCTTACGTGATCCATTAAGCCCCCACCCTAAAAATCAGATTTTAAAACCAAACCTTGAAATAGACTCACAATGTAAACGAATTGATCGAACGTCGGATATTGATGATCGAACACGCGTACACGGTCACGCGTCAATAGCACGCCAGAATCAAGCGCGACAAATACGTTATTGTGGACCATCGTCCACAATAATGAGTGGAAAGCCTCGTTGGCATTTTGAGAGCCACCACCTAACACACGTGCTAAACTGGTGCGAGAACACCACTCTTCAAACACTGGCTTGATCAGATCTAAGTATGCTTGTGGAATGTTGGATTTTGAATTATGATTAAATTGCTAGAATAGATTGGGTGACCAATATTATTGGATCCGAATATTATTGGATACCCAATAGTATTGTACAATATCTTCAATAATGATTGGTATTGGTGCATGCCTACGAATGTTCCATGCTTCTGCCGATAGACGCAAATCAATCTAATCGATGATCTACGTGAAATTAATCAAGACTTCTTATTTCAAGAGGATAAGAATCGGATCTTGGCTGATGGAAAAAAATTTAGTGGTAAAGGACGCATGACTGATGCTCAAACAATCAAGTTTAAAATTTATTTCGCTAAAGCTATACGTGAATCTAAAACTAATTTAGATAAACTCTATCAAAAATCATGGGCAATTTTTAAACATCATTATTCTACAGACAAGCAGCCGATGCACGATTGGTGTGATCCTAAATGGGCAAATACCTTCAAGCAACATCAAATGGTCAACAATTTAATCATAATTCAAAATCCAACATTCCACAAGCATACTTAGATCTGACCAAGCCAGTGTTTGAAGAGTTGTGTTCTCGCACCGGTTTAGCACGTGTGCTAGGTGGTGGCTCTCAAAATGCCAACGAGGCTTTCCACTCATTATTGTGGACGATGGCCCCTAAGCATCGTTACTGTTCGTCAACAATTCCGTATTGCATTGAGCTTATCGACAATCATTTACAACGATGGCTATGATTCTTTAGATAAATTATTTACAAGCATCTTCTCGTCTATGGGTTATTATTCTGCTCAATGTTTCAGTCGACTTGATGAAGTGAGGAAATCTTTTACTTCGAAAGTGAAAAAAAGACGTTTAAAACGAGCAAAAACAACAACAACAACTGCTGCTACTAATATCTCTTCAAGCGAAAGTGATGATGGAATGCCATTTGTCCTAAATCTAAATGATGATAGTTTTGGTGATATTTCTAATAATTTAAACGCATTGAACCTGTCGGAAGATGACGCATGCAGTGATTATGAACCGGGAGGCGATGATTAGTTTTTCCTACTTCACCATCATTTATCCAAGATTACTCATATGTAGTTTAATATGACATATTATTATGATATCATTTTCTAAATAGTTGTGATCTTCTTATTTTTTTCTTTACATAGTTTTGAAGGCATCAGTTAATAAACTTTTCGCAAAGTATTTTCATCTATGAGGAGTTCAACATGTTTTGATCTGATTGAGATAATTTGGAAGTGGTTTTATTATACGATATAAATTCCGATGATTTCATTCGGATTATAGGTGCAGTCCTTATTGATTTCATCGTGATCACGACATAACCATATGGAATAAACAAAAGTTTTCGCCATATACGCCTTTGAATGCGTCCACTCAATTCTTTCTAATCGATGATCTACGTGAAATTACTCAAAACTTCTTTTTACACCATTTTACCGTAGAAAAAGTCTTGAATTACACTTCCAAAACTTCTTTTGCCTTTTTCTCATAATATGGTTTTTTGTCTTCACATTTTTTTGAGAAAATGTTATTTTGTAGAATATGAGGTTCCAGAAAAAATTATGTAACATCTTCAAAACTCATCATAAAATGAATAAACTATAGTGCGTTCGATAGCCCACACTTTGCTCTATCTGACACACTATACATCAAAAAATCGAAAAATTTGACGAAAACCAACTTTTTAGAGTGGGGGGCTTAATGGTCATATGACCTATCGAATCACGTAAGGTTTATTAATTTATCATCTACTCAAACGGAGTTAATAGATCCGCAACCGGTAGATGTCACAATTTCACCTCTCCGTAGAAAATCGGGAGACGAAGCGATCCGATGATAAGTGAACAACTTCAAAACACCATTTTCTGATATAATTTTTCATGGAGAATCTAAAGAAAAAATATTTGTTCCTTTAAACGCAGAGAAACAGGAGAAAAACGACATTTACCTAAAAAAGGTCGGTGTTTGCAGCTTCAAGGATTTTACAGTTTTTGCCCTTTTTGACCAGAAAAATCAATTTTTTCTTCATAAATTATACATATTTGGAATCAGCGTAAAATTCCACGTCTAGTGATGTACACCTTGTTGGGAAACAAAATTATGGTCCTCCTTTGAATTACGCGCGCCTTAATACTTTTCTGTTGCCTAAGCACATTAGCGTGTAGTGCTTTTGTTTTCTTGTATTGTCGTTCACTATAAAATCAGGCGTGTCGAAGTAGATTGCCAATTTTTGCGGTTTTATTCGGTTTGTAATTCGGTTTCCTTTGCGGATTTTCGAATGCCTTTGTACGCTGTGAAAAAAGGAAGAAAACCTGGAATTTATGCTTCGTGGTAAGATCAGTGTGCAAATGTATTGAGAAGAAATGTTTTTTAAAGGTAACTGTTATTCCTTTTTGGATGTTGCTTTATTTTTAAGGGAGGAGTGTATACCGTTTTACTTAGCTAAATTCGTGACTGGGAAAAGCTTGGGAACGCTGAGAAAACAGTTTTTTTTTGTGTTTTTACACAAATCTTTTCCAGTGACGAATTTAGCGTGCTGTACGAACCCTTAAAAGGTTTCGCAGTTTGTATGAAACCTTAGAAAGGTATATTACCTTGAAATTGAAAACATCGAACTGCACCATGATTTTCCTGTCGTGCTTCGGTAAACAGTCTCAGATGCTTTTTCATGATTTTTGAGTTGATAAATTTTAAATTTTGAGACAGTGTTGCAATTTTAATCGTTGCTTTTATTAAACTAAGCGTTTTCCCTATTAGATGGATAATTCATAACATTATCCGAAAGGACACCTCATTTTTCTCAACAAAACGAATTGTTCACGAACTACCACATATACTTTTAACTAGTGTTCGATGCGATCTGTCGATTATCTTGAACCGACTCTATTCCTTTTTCTCCCTCCATCTATGAATAATCTACGAGCTGACAGGTGGACTTAAAGTTTCGAGGTAAAATGTTCAGTCATTTTTATTCCGAGGTATTGATGTTCTAAAGTATAAAACACCGGACAAATCTACCTGTCCTTAGCAATGAACAGCCAGCTGACAACAGAAGTAAAGAACTTCCAGACCAAAACGTTTTTTATATAAACCGATCCGTTGCATATAGTGAACCTCAGGAACATCTGGAGCGCAATCGAGCTGAAGCCATCTCTAGTCTTTCCATAGTAACTCATAGTTTCGATAATTCTTATCAGTTTGTAGAAACAGCCATCGTGGAATATTCTGCTGCTAGACAGTTACATAACTCAAAAGCAGAATCATTTAAGCATTATCCACTGTCAGACCGAAGAGAAATGCTTCCATTTCATCAGGGTCGTATGAATGACTTCTGCTCATCTTTAGCTGAATTTGAACATCCCGCCGAAAGTTCGCAAAATATACCACACACAGTATCGGAAAGACATTCAAAACATGATCCAGCAATCCAAGACAAACTGACACAAGACAAGGATTCGCATGAGACACTTTCTATGGTCGAGTCTCACGGTTCTTCCTCATCTAAATCTTATTATAACTCGTTTAACGAAAACAGTAAGAGTCTGAGCATCTGAAAAACGATGGGAATCTAATCAAATGCATCGACTTATTAGCGTCCAGACGCAATCGCAGAACCAAAATATAGTACCAATTACTAATAAGACAGCGCATTATAGCCATCAAGAAACATGTGTAACATGTGATAAGGAAATCAGAAGTAAAGACAAGTTCCGAAAAGAGTTGGAAATGGTAGGCCAAGTCAACGGTGCAAGGACAGAGACTACGTGTGAGTGATTAGAAGATTAGAAGTCCCTAGTTATCATGGTTCTTGAGTAGCAGGAATGTCGCTACTTTTGCTGGATTATTTTTTATAACTCAACTGGCTTAAACTCAAAAGGTTCAGTAATACCCAATTCTAAAATATCTTGTCTTTATACGGCATCATCGAACAATGGTGAAACTTTTAGAAAATAGTAGTTTGATGCAATATTCAAAATATCGATGAGAAAAAAACATTCCGTTTCGTGAACCAAACATTTGTCCTTGCTCAAACTTTTTCTTATGTTTATAATAATCATTCACAGATAATTGTACCGTGAACGCTTGATAGAATTTCGTTACGGTCATTGAGCATACACCGATCTTTTTATCGTATAATAACTTCAAAACCCTTTTATAAGTAATCGTAATAAGTTTAGGGTTTCATATTTCCATTTTGCTCAGCCACTTTTTACAAAGCGAGAACGAACAGGTTTTAAGCTTCAACGTTGTCCTGCACTGATTACAGAATGGATAATGCTGAACCTCAGCTCATCAAATAGACAGGTCTCTCTGTCTTCACATATGAGAGTTAGGAAAATTAGCGAAACATCTCACAAAAGACGCAATAATATCCAAAGTTCTATTACTCATCGGTTATTCAATGAAACATCCTCCATTAACATTAGCCCCTCCGAATGCTAATAATCCGACCTATTATCGGGATCTCAATATCTCAATTAACTGATAACCTTTCTCCTCCATTACTTCAACATACTCTGCACGCTAAAAAACCACATGTACGACAAAAATATTTTTCAAAGCGACCTTCCAGCACAAAATTAATTGTGGATTTCACATTCAAACAACTCACGATTAAATATCTCTTGGTACCCAGCACTATTACACAACTTTACTCCAAGCGATAAACTTCAACGTCCTTAACCTTAAAATCGTAGCCACCGGTGAAAGTATCATTGCCACGGCCCACTGTATCGGCGTACGTCCGCGGAAACCCACTACCACTATTCACATCAACATTACAATTCTCACCGATCCAAATATCATCTGAACATCCTATTAAGCTGCTAGAGGAAACGCGACGCCACTTTCAAGTGAAAGATGAGAATGAGGCGGAACGAGTAAGTGCTTGTGGATGACAGACGACAGTACTTGATGATGATTGAGAAAATGAATCAGTCCCAGAAAAGAAACGTTCAGTGATGATGGTGCAGAAAAAGTGACGCCACTTTCAAGTGAAAGATGAGAATGAGGCGGAACGAGTAAGTGCTTGTGGATGATAGACGATAGTACTTGATGATGATTGACAAAAATGAATTGGCCCCACCAAAGCAACGTTCACTGATGATGGTGGAGGAAACGTGACGCCACTTTCAAGTGAAAGATGAGAATGAGGCGGAACGAGTAAGTGCTTGTGGATGATAGACGATAGTACTTGATGATGATTGACAAAAATGAATTGGCCCCACCACCAAAAGAAAAACCAAAACCAAACAAACGTTCAGTGATGATGGTGGAGGAAAAGTGACGCCACTTTCAAGTGAAAGATGAGAATGAGGCGGAACGAGTAAGTGCTAGTGGATGACAGAAGATAATACTAAGATGATGATTGAGAAAATGAATCAGTCCAAAAATTTGTATTTGTATGATACACTGCATATTGACTTTGTTCTGGAATGATTGGAAATTTAGTAGGTTTAAGGTTGTGCGGGTTGGTCAGTGTGAATAAAAATGCGTTCGGGTCTCTTTTATAACCGTTCTGAGAAGTCCAGGGGACCATGGTGAACGCACCAAATAGATAATTGCCTTCTTGGGACTGAATAATAGTCATGGTTGGTCCTTCTCCATCACACTGACGGTGAAAGTCTTTAGCGGCAAAACCGTTTTTTTCTGCTTTGTAAATCAAATGCCACCTTTGGCTCGTCTGTCCGTAAAATTCGTTTAATTTTAATTGATGTCCCTTGTGCAGTAGTGCTCCACCGGTGAATAGTTGCTCTTGATTCGGGGAGGATGCAGGTAAGGGAACCGCTTGGATTAAGTTTGCTAAATCGATTGAGCTGTTCGTGTTCCAATCAATTTTGTTGTCGTTTGACGTTAAGAGTTGTCTTAATTGTTTTGTCAATTTGGTTAATTCTTCTTTCCAATGGTCGACATCGGTTTCATCGTAATCACTCTGGGACTGTTTCAGGCGTAATTCCTTGGTTAACGAGTTAAATTCTTTTTTTATTTCTTCTTTTTCTTTAAACATTTGTAATAAACGTTCTTTGGCTGTTTTTGTTGTTCTTTTTATCTGATCCATCATTTCTTGTTCGAATTGATCAATTTCGCTAAACAATTCAGATGATTTACTGTTGTCTTTTGTGTTATTTAAATCTTGTTGTAGAAATGCATGTTTTTCACATATACCATCAAACTGACGTTTAATTTCTTGTCGATGTTGTAAAGAATGTTCTTCACAAAACATTAGTTCACAT